ATTAAGGTGAGTTGTTTACCGAAAGCACTATAATTATTTCGTTCAGCGATTATTTTACGACTCAAATTCAAAAGTATAATACAATTCTCAGTGACGCATTCATAATGTACATAATCATAAAAATAATAAATATCGCGTAGTAAACAATATTTTTACAGAAATTTAAAGTCATGACTCCTATCACACACAGTAGCGCATCCTATCTCGTTTGCTATTTAGCAAAATTGACCGAAAAATGATGCAAATTTAGAGAAAATTTATTATCACAGGCTGTACGCCACTGATAATGCATAGAAATTAATTAATATCACTTAGTACATTAAAAGTTATAAGTTCCATCAATTTTCGTCTTCCGGAATTGTTAATTGCGCATACTACATCGCAAAAATGACCGAAAAGTACGGAAATTTAGGGAAAAATTATTATCACAGGCTGTACGCCACTGATAATGCATAAAAATTTATTAATATCANTTTTATAGACAACACAAAAACAGTCTTTATTCTTTAGCAATGAAACAAGTAATTTTTTCTACATGACTATCTAAGACATACTAATCAATAATGTTTAATGTACAAAACATAAAAGTATTTTGTTTATAATTTTAAAAAAAAGTTTAAAATTACTTTTTGGAATACCTTCAAGCAATTCAAGAATTCGTTAACGTCATTAGTTGTAATGCAAACTAAAATATGGATTGAAATGATTAACTGCACTTAAATAGCAGTTACTTAATGCGTCAAATAATTTTTTTAGCCATGAATGAAAAAAAAAATTTCTTGGATCGTGTACCAATATAGAAAAAAAAGAAATCGTTTTAGTGACTAATAAAACGAAATACGTAAGTAATCATAAAAAAAAGGTATGAACATTTAAAGTAATGTTGGAATAAAAAAAAAAAAAAAAAAATTTGCTCTAAGTGAGATAGGAACCCGGAGCCGCAAAACTAAAATTCACCCTCCTGCTCTAGCCCTCTCAGCTATTAACGCTTAGGATATCGTGAGACTAAAAGTTACATATGTTTATCTTTAAGTTTTGAAGCTTGAGATTTAATTTAAGCTTTATCGTATTATTGCCGTTAAGCTATGTATTAATGGTGAAAGAATATAAATTAACAAATAAAGATATCAGTGCAATGGAGCGTTCAGGTAAAGGTGTCCAGTATATTGGTAAATAATATTACTTAGTACAAAAAATATTTGTGCGTACTGTGTCGTTGTGGTAAATGCCTTCATGTATTATTCAATAATTTCACTTATCGTAAAAGTGAAGAACTATTGAGCGCACCGGATTGTTGAAATAAAGGCGCTTGTTTAATAATAAAGCAAAATAATATACTAATTGCATTGATTTTGTCATTGTTTGAAAAATGAACAAAAATTGTTAATAACCTGACAATTATGTTTTGTTTATTATAGTTGAACGAATGATCAACTGCATTTGAAAAGCTTATCTTTCTTTCAGGGAGGAAAAGCGAGAAAAGTAATACGGGCAGCTCTTTTCCGTAATATCAGTGTACAACTATAGCTATAGATGAATAGCCCGTTGTATGCATATACATATAGGTTTAGCTTCTCCTCCATCTCCATCCTCCATCACCGATGCACACATTTGGATCCTCATGTCACCCTCACTGATCTCCCCTTACCTCTCCCCGCGAGCCGAGCCAACAAGCCGCCAGCCAATAGAAAACATGTGCACAGTTCCTCTGCTGGCCACGATGGATTGGCGCTCAAATCAGCGCCGAAACATCAGCATACTCTTTAACATAGGCACTGGCACTCTCCCTACTTATCTCTGATGAAACATACGTCGGTCTCAAGCCCGATAAACGCAGAGAGAGAGTTGTGTAACTTGAGAATAATGATAAATGAAATTAAAAATTTTCCTCAAATTTCCGTACTTTTCAGTCATTTTTGAGATATAATACTCGTAATTAATAATTCCAGAAGACGAAAACTATTAGAACTTATAACTCTTATTTGTACAAAGTAATATTAATTGATTTCTATGCATTATCAGTGGCGTACAGCCTGTGATAATTAATCTTTCCTGAATTTCCGTACTTTTGAGTCATTTTTGCCATATAGTATGCGCAATTAACAATTCCGGGAGACAAAAATAGTTAGAACTCATAACTTTTATATGTACTAAGTGATATTCATCGATTTCTATGCATTATTAGTGGCGTACAGCCTGTGATAATAAATTTTCATTAAATTTCCATTATTTTTTGCTCATTTTTGCTATATAGTATGCGCAATTAACAATTCCGGAAGACGAAAATTGTTAGAACTTATATCTTTTATATGTACTAAGTGATGTTAATTAATTTCTATGCATTATCAGTGGCGTACAGCCTGTGATAATAAATCTTTTCTAAATTTTCGTACTTTTCGGTCATTTTTGCCATATAGTATGCACAATTAACAATTCCGGAAGACGAAAACTGTTAGAACTTGTAATTTCTATATGTACTAAGTGATATTTATCAATTTTTATGCATTATTAGTGGCGTACAGCCTGTGACAATAAATTTTCATTAAATTTCCATTATTTTTTGGTCATTTTTGCTATATAGTATGCGCAATTAACAATTCCGGAAGACGAAAATTGTTAGAATTCATAACTCTTATATGTCCTAAGTGATATTAATCAATTTCTATGCATTATCAGTGGCGTACAGCCTGTGATTATAAATCTTTCCTAAATTTCCGTACTTTTCGGTCATTTTTGCGATATAGTATGCGTAATGAATAATTACGGAAGACGAAAATTGTTAGAACTCATAACTCTTTTTTTTTGTACTAAGTGATAACTATTAATGTCTATGCATTATTAGTGGCGTGCAGCTTGTGATATCAGATTCCTTCGAAATGTAGGTATTTTCTGATCTTTTTTAATGATAAACTCATTAAATAACAATTTGTTGAAGACGAAACGTGATTTAACTGTTTTACGTTTTTATTTTTTATTCTGTTTTCCTTGCCATCATTGGTGTCGTACAGCCTATTTAATTGGAATGTTAAAAAATTTTTGTCTATTACGGATATTTCCACAATGAAATATTTAACATGTTAAGTTTTTGATGACGGGAAATATACATTATTAGTTATTTTGTCGAGCTAGTACTAAGAATATAGTTTTGCATGGATGATTTTTTATTTTTCAAGTCAATTGTACTTGCGTATACAGTTTATTTTAACTTTGTTGAGTTATTGGGTTATATGAGTCATTGTTATATCGTGACGGTATTATAAAGAGGAACTCTTTTTTGATAGTTTTTATGAGTTATTGCATAGACAAAGACTTACCTTGATCTATATACACTATATGAATTCCACTTCAATAGTTTTAAAGCCTAAACGCATTTTTCACGCCTTTACACTTGAATCAATCTTTAAACTTTTATATCTCGAGAAGGGTACATTTTTATGATCTAAAAATTGCTGGGAGCCTTTCTTATTACTTGTTGAAGCATTTAAAGCATTTTAATTAAAAAAAAAAAAAAAAATTTTTTTATTTTCGTTGCACGCAACGTTGCAAACTTCAGAGTCATCTATTCGAATATATTTTCAGTTTAATTTTTTTTTGTACGATCGGTACGGCCAAGGCGAAAATAGTGCCGAAACTTGTAATATGTTTTCTTTTTCAACTGATTAGAGTTTTGGTTTATTGATTTGTACGCGAAACTATGTTAAAGTTCAGTATATTATCTGAGACCCACGTGAGAATGGGCACTTTCTTATAACTTATGCGTTTATCCATACAGAAGAAGAGATTTTTTTGGTTTTAAAAACGAATGTTATTTAAGTTCAAACCGTTGATTTAACATGTTTATTTGATGAAATGGTACTTATAGATCAATTAATAAATTATGTGTTCTACTATCAAAGTTGATGTAGTTCTCCATTAAATTATAATTTAGATGGATTTCAACGAATTTTAATAATAATGTTTCATTTTCTGTAAGCTAAGAGCTTCACCACTGTATTCAGCTACACTCGTTATATTGTAATACACAATTATACATTTGAATATAGTTGAAGATTATTTTGCAATCATTTTGTATTTCTTTTGCGAACCTGACCTTCCCGGTCTCAATCATATATTTATTCTCCCATGATTAATGAATGCGTGTTGTGACCCATGATCAAAACACCCTATCCTTTTTCCCGAAGAAACTGATACACGCACTCGATAGTCTTTTAAAGTAATAATATATTTTTAGGATATCGTGAGACTAAAAGTTACATATGTTTATCTTTAAGTTTTGAAGCTTGAGATTTAATTTAAGCTTTATCGTATTATTGCCGTTAAGCTATGTATTAATGGTGAAAGAATATAAATTAACAAATAAAGATATCAGTGCAATNTTTGACACCGTAGAATAAACTGTCAGTATTTTTATATCTTTTGAGTAAATATCAACTTCTAATCTGAAGGCAAGGATGGTAACTACACGAAATATAGTTAAACAAGCGTTAAAGACTCTCATCCTCCCATTTGCTCAAATTTAATTTTCCTTTATAGCTTCACTATTAGGTTTATCCAATACAGACCTTGTAAAGGATTAGTGATTCTTGGTTGAATGAATTAAATTTTCAGTTAAATAATATTTACTTATGTTGTAATTCTTATCCTGTAGTTCAAAATTGCCTTCAAAAATATGTAAATTGATTTTTTATAAACTTACAAATTCTATGTTAAATTAGTTACTTTTTATGAATTTCAAAATTTATTGATGAGACAGTGCTCGTTTAATTAGCGTATTTATAAAAGGTTTTTAACACATTTATTAAATTCAATTCTTTCGATGTGTTTATTTAATATGAGAAGCAAGGTTTCTGAACATCATAATAAAATGCCATAAAAATAAAAAATAAAAATATTAGTAGTAATAAATTTTATAAGGCAATCGATTTAAGAATTTTGTTCCTTAACAAAAAGAGCATCACAAAGATCCAACTAAGAATATTATGTTGAAAAAAATAGCTTACGACTAAATCATCGGTTTTGTTTTCTACATCCTTTTCCTGTATGTCAGACATGTTTGTTGATTCAAATTCCACTTGTATTTTTTCTTCATCTTTTTTTTTTTTTCTCTCCTGATCCAGTTGTTTCATTAGTCTTCTACTTCTTGACGACTTTTTGACTTTGAAAACTTCTCCATCTACAAAAATGTTTTGTTTTGTCAGCGAAATTACTTCTCTTGTTGTTATAAAAATAGAAAAGTTTAATTCAATGTATAAAATTGTAAACTTAAAGTTTATTCAAGAAAAAAAGGAAAGAACATTCAATTTATTTAACAAACAGTATTTTTGCAAGCAGTGTACTTGCGTTTATTACCAAATCGAAAAGTGTGACACTTACAGGTATACAGAGTAAAAAATTTTGTTGCAATGTACTCCTTTCGTAACTGCTTATGTTACAGCGCAACATACGTGTATGGTTGAAATGAATGCACATGTGCGATAGAGACAAAGATAGGGAAAAATTACGAATCTCACAGTGCTGCTTAAAAGAATTTAGAGTGACGGGGTTAGGCTGTAGGGTGAGAATATTTAAAAATCTCCAACTTCTTACCGAGTTTTAGGTAAGTTAGAGATTTTAACGGTAAAGAGAATCGGAAGAGAGGAGCAAGCGCGCACAGACACAGAGTAGTGTATGAGCAGCGCAGTCATAGTCAGTGACGAGAATAGGTGAGCGTATAAGAAAAATTTAAATGTACAGTGAGAACAAAGAAGAGTAGAGACACTATAGTGTACCAAGAGTATGGTGTGTAGAGAGAGTAGAGTAAAACATATAAGAGTGGTCCAGTACGAAATGTAAGTAGAAAAAATAAAGAATGTAATTCAGTGTACGGAAAAAAGTGGATAATGCGAGAGTAGAAAGAGGTACGTGCAGAAGAGAACGAGTCATAGTTACGAACAGGGTCTCAAGAGGCAAGAGTTTTCAGAACCAGGTCATTGTCGGCCAAGCCATCTCCACAACCAAGATCAGGCATCGAAAAGGAATAAGTCTAAGAGTAAATAGTACGGTAGCCGTATAGCGTAGTATTATGATAAAATAAGGGGTAGAAAGAAGACGCCCAGGTGCGCGCGCGCGTGTGTGTAACCTATCGTGAGATACAAATAATCGAGACGGCGCAGGGCATATTCAGACGCCACAAGGGTGATATGTAGTTAATACGAAGCGTGTATGGGATTTATATGCATGATATAGATATAGGCCACCAGCACTAGAGCCTAGAAAAAGCTCGGCATGAAGGGAGACCATAACTATCTATACACATTGTGATGAAGTAGCCATAGATATCTTGACACTGTACATATATATGTGTCCATCGGTGATGAAGGAGAAGTTAAACCTTTATGTATATGCATNATATATATTCTACTAGTGCTCCCCCTCGACTTCGCCCGAGACTCACTGAATGAAACACCGTAATGTGTTGGCACGTAATGTAGAACGTTTTCAGTTAAATATTTTTTATCTATTCTTGACACTTATCAGAACAAAAAACGTCTTATTAAGGATATTTTTGTTAATAATTCATGCAGTTTATTTTTTATCGCCCGATCACCAGAGTAACGAAGTCCTGGAGCTTAAGGAGGTTCCAGCGTCCTAGTGCCACCACACTAGACATACGTCATTAGATAGTTTACATTACACAGAATTTGGGGGTAGCTTTTTTATGTCCTTAACAGAACAAAGTCTTGAGAAATTCGTGATTTAAGTTCGCTCTTTCAACTAGAGTGCTTATGGCAGGTATACTAAGATTAATGATTTGCAACTCGAATCGAATGTGTCGGACATTATCAGTATACACGGGATGTAGATTATAACTTTATCTTTTAAATACCATCGTGAAAATTACAGATAACCGCAAAAATAGATATTTTTTTATAATTAATTGAATCGACGTATTTTCGTAAATAGATGTTTTTCTTGCGGCAGTGGTGCCAACTATAGAAGTTTTTTGAGCAAGTTAAGACTTCAAAATAAGGGTTGGTATCTTAAATAAATGTCTCCATTTTTTTTAGCCACAATAAATACAAATACATATTACCCTACCTATTTAAAAATCTGGAAGATTTAAGTGATTACTGGCATCAGGGTTATAATGGAAAGCTGATCCCTCACGTGATAGATTCTTTATTTGTTAATTTTGACACTGCTTTATCAATGTTGATAAATGTTCTGCGTCAGTTTCCTGACACCTTAAGTTGTTAACATTTGGAGCATTTAAAGTTTTCTTTTTAATTCACTTTCTTGCGACTATAAGATAGGCATAGCTAAAACTTTCGAGAGCCCTAAAGGATGTTTTTTGTCAACTTTGTTAAGTTATAATGTATTTGTTAATAAGGTATAGTTCGACGTTCGATGGCCCTAAAAAATCGGTGAGCGTGAAACTCTTTCTTAACTGAAGTTTCCAGCAAACGTGACTGTCTGGATCCCTCAAGGTGATCTTCTCTGGCCTTCTGTTGTAGCACCTGACTGATCGGGAGGAGAACTACAGAGCCTGAAGCGTTGGAGCTAGTTGTATAGCTCTTTGCCAATGTCTCCTGGTATTACTCTGGAGACGTTGGTGTCCAAAGCATTTTTTTTTTTTGGAGAGCTCAGTCATTTTGATAATCCAAGGTAAGGATATTGGTTCGTGATACTTGCTTGTTAAAGACTCTCATTCTCCCATTTGCTCAAATTTAATTTTCCTTTATAGCTTCACTATTAGGTTTATCCAATACAGACCTTGTAAAGGATTAGTGATTCTTGGTTGAATGCTTAAAGTCAAGAGGGTAAGGTAGGGTCGTTGGTGGCCGAAATTCTCAGCCTCGCGACGAACAACTCCGCTCTTGATGTCTGGTAGTGAATGACCAATGTCGTTTAATAGTGACTGGATTTATATAGTTTTTCAGTCAACGAATCGTTGCCGAAAATGGAAGTGAAAATGTATTAGTTGGCAAGGTAGTTTAAAGTTAGATGGCTCTGAAAAAAACCGATGAGATGGGTGATTAATTAGGGAACGTAAATACTTATGTATGATCATACTGCAGGGAGGTACGCTGCTGGCCAAAGAATATCTCGTCTTCGGATCGTTACCTAGATAACCAACCGTTCACCGTTGTTTGAGAAAGTGAGTCTAAAGAATACCTCCTTTGTGGGTATGCCGTTGGGACAAACCACTGAGGAGAAGACCGATGAAATTTTCAGTTGATGTGATTGCCCGAATTCCTTCAGGTTGTTTTTCCTGGCTTGCTGTTATAGCATTATCTGCTGTGGTAGCACCAGGTCGGTTGGAAGAAAGGCCACTAAACACTAAATTATAAGAGCAGCCTGTTCTCCGGCTAAACGTCTTCTGGTATTGCACCGGAGACGTTGGCGTTCAGAATGCTTTTTATTCGTGGCACTCATTAATCTTGGTGGTTCGGGGTGTAATTCAACATAAGTCGCTTGTTCAGTGGAAAAGAGTTTTGTCGGTAGCCGGAATACCCAGCAGAACAACTGCCAGCTCTACATATGCTTCATAAACTGCTGATTCTTTGCTCGGGGATGTAATAACTAGACTTAATTATATTGCAGGTAGCTTCGATTTTACTTCTATGCTACCTAGCGGATCCTGCTGAACTAAAGTGAAAAGCTAGCGTATTTTTACTAAATTTTTAGCTTATTAATTGCTATTGTTACAAATTTTTTTAAGATAAAAACTATACTAAAACCATCTAGGAAGTGTCACCAATCAGTTAGCAAAATTTCAGCCAGGTCGATTGAGTAGTTCTTTCAGTTAGCGATTACCACGGTTTTAGCGACTTAGCTTTATATATTAGTAAGATCTACACATGTAAATTTACCACACTATTTAACGTGTGTTCTTGGTACCATAGAATACGAGCCAAAAGGAGAGAAAAAACAACAGGTACTAAGAGTAGTATGTCTGCGGAGTGTGGTGAAACGGTATGTGTGTGTAAAAAAGACGAAGAGTAGAGAAGCTGGCGATGCATTTTGAAACAATCAAGAGTAACGAAAGTCTGGTCGTTGAGTTGGCATTTTTTTTTTTCAACCTCCAGCTTCTTGCTGGTTTATAGAAATATTGGATGTTCCTATGCAAAGGAAGGGTCACGTGCATCCATGCAGAATACTGCATAGCGTATGAGCAGCAACAATATATCATCAGGCAGTGGAAAGAGTAGGTGACAGTGATAGAGAGGTACAGTTCGAGGGATGGATATAAGTGACAGATTACATAGAATAGAGCGTAGCAGATAGAAGAAGAGTAAAGGCAAATTAGGAATTAGTATACAAGAAGAGGATAGACTATAATAGTACAGAATAGGGAAGAAAGTGTGTAAGCAGCGAACTGAACTGCCAAAAATCAGCCATGTAGCCAAGCTATCGCCGAGACCAAGACGAATTCAAAGAACGTTAGTGTGACAGTAAGAATATCAAGAAGTTAGGTGTACTGTGTATGATGTACTAGAGTTATATACAGGGATAAAAGTGTTTAGGATGATCCAAGCAGGCGCTTGTGTATGTGTGTGTGCACGCGCGTGTGTGTGTAAACGTATAATCAGTCTCAAGGACTCGAGTCGTGACTTTGCGTCACGAGGATATTCAGTATTAGTGAGACGAGCGCAGAATTAGTAATATGTACGAGGTGTGCATGAGATTGTGTGTGTGTGCGTGTGTGTTATATAAGTACGGGCCCGAGATAATCTGGGAGTATGTGAGAGGGCTTTATAAGTAGCATCTGTGTACTTAAAAACGATTTAAGAAGTGGTTTACATGTAGTTAGGCGCTCCACAGTCTTCCTTTCAGTTTTCTTTCTAGGAGTTTTTGGCGTTCCCAAGTCAGATACTTGTGACAGACCTCGTGGTAGAGAGAAGTTTAATGGGTAGAGATGAAGGAGGAGAAATTACAAGAGTTTTCGGCAAGATGTCGTGATGGCTGTACCCCAGCCAAAACATCTTTGTCACAACATAGACATGTATTTTTTTATTAGAATTGAAGTGTGCATATATATATATATATATATATGTATAAAAGCAAAATACATTATAGAAGTTTGGTATGAAAGTAAAAAAGGCTTAATAAAACTCTTAAATACAAAATGAAATTTATTGACAAACTGGTACTTTGTTTAGTGTATTACGGTATCCTTTT